AGAAAATAGCTTTATTTCAAAAACTTTATTACAACTTTTAAAAAATTTTATTTCATTCCTTCAAAGTAGTGACCATCTTTATCTATGCAAAGTTGTAGCCTTTTCCGCCAATCCTCAAAAGCTTTGTGGTACTCCTCTTTTTCAATACCAAGAGTAATTGCCTGAACAGCATGTGCAAGATTTTCAACACTTTCAAACTTCTTATTTTTGAGTTCCTTTTTGATTTTAGGAAATAGAAAAAAATCGCAAGGTGCCAGGTCAGGACTGTAAGGTGGATGGGGAAGAATATTGACTTTTTCTTGTTCCAAGTAACTGATGACAATTTTTGATGTATGTGGCGCAGCATTGTCATGATGAAGCAAGACATTTCGAACAGTTTTTCTGCCAGTTATTCTTATAAAATTTGAAAAAACTTCTGGCAGAATATTATTGGCATAAAGGTTTCCAGTTACAGTACTCCCTTTTGGCACTACAATTCTTGCCACAATTCCCTCAGCAGAAAAGAAAATGCAAAACATACGTTTTTTGCTATTTTGGGCAGTTCTTGCAATTTGAAGTCTGTTTTCCCCATGTTTAAGCCAAACCTTATTAGCTTCTTTACTTGGAACAGTATAGAAGTGAATCCATGTCTCATCACCAGTAATAATATTTCTAAAGCCGCTTTCCAAAATCTGCAGAAGTTGTTTGGAAATCTCAACTCGTTTTTTCCTGTTTTCATCTGTCAGCACATGTGGAATCCATTTTTTGCAGATTTTTCTCATATTAAGTTCTTCATGAATGATGTTTTCAACTCTTTCTCTGGAGATTCCAACTTCTACCACTAGTTCTCGTGTAGTTATATGAGGATTTTCATTAATAAAATCCTCCACCCTTCCAATTGTTTCTGGGGTGACAGCATCATGGGGACGACCAGAACGAATTTCGTCTTTAATGGTTTGCTGGCCCAGTTCAAATGCCTCAATCCAGCGATAAATTGTACTTTTAGACAGTGCTTTGTCTCCCTCTACAACTATTAGCTTTTTATGAATATCAGCAACTGAAGTGCCATTCTTCCATTCAACAAAAATATAGTAACGTTGATGTTCATGAGTAGAATTTTCCATTTGTTTTTGATGAGGAAATTCAAAAAATATTTTTTTATGAACCAGTCAATCAAATTTCGCCAATTTTTTTTCCTCAAATATATCGATGGTACTACTTTCAGTAAATCATAACTTTGTTTAGGTATACCCACATATTATTGAGTAATACAATGATTCTCATTACTTTTCAGCCATACCACGTATATAACATACCAAAAAAAAAATCTAATCCATTTTATTTTAAAGCTTTCCTCTTAACATCAGAGCCCAAATGCGATTTCATGGCCACCAACCCTGCTCTGAATTGCAACCTTCTTGTGCTTGAAATGAATTGCAGATTCTCATTGCTTTGATGGATCTGGATGTTTATGCACACCTAATATCACAACTCTTCAATCGCGGATCCATGCCAGCAGCCTTCTCTGGTCTGGGAAGATTAGTGAAAACGTCCTTGACGATTGATGCGGTCTTGATAAACTCCAGGGCTATACTACCCCTCCCTGGAATTCTGTTGCATCAATGTATCATCAGGGGATGAAGTCAAGATTAGCCTTGTGTAAACAAGGAAGATGTGAGAATGACTGTAAAGTGTTCAAGTGCTTCAATGTCTGCCAATTTCTGATAATAAAACATCGCATATCGAAATGTTTCATACTTGAATTGTTATTATTGATTACGAAAAGCAAATACAAATCGTTCATTTATTATAATTACCCAGCGAGTTCTGCTCCGCGTTTTGATTCCAATTAAAATATTTATAAACTAAAAAAAACAATACAAATAAAAAATGGTACCTCTGGTTAGTTGTTAACACATCTTCAGAACCAAACAACATCACTCATGTTTTGTCATGTCAAAATAAGATTGTTTTTCCAAGAAAAAAAAATCAATTCGCGTCAACAAAAAAAATAAATCTTTGTGCAATGCCAAGTGCCAATAATAATAATAATAATAATATTTGTTTTACGCGCATTTTAAAAATTTTTTTTTTCAAAAATTAAAAAACAATGCATTCTTCAAAGAATCTAAGAAGAAACAAAGGAAAACAAATAGCCGATGATAATAAGTAAGTGTTTTAAGAATGGTGGTGGTTATTCCCACTTGTCGTTATTCTAGTTACTAAATTGAAATTTCGACTTTTTGTATTTATTTCTTAGGGAATTCTCAACTGACTCCACGTATCTCCAACCTTCAAGTTCCGATAGTGATGATAGCTATGTAAGAACTAGGAAAAAATACCGAAACGAATGGTTTGTTGGTCTGGGT